GATAAAAAATGATATAATAATTTTTTTCTGTTATTGAACGTATATAATATATTCTTTTCGTCTTCCATAAGTGTACTTGAACTTTTAGGTATAATTTTTAATGTGAATGCATTTTTTTTTTTCTTTTTACTTTTTTGTCTTTTATAGAAAAAAAAAATTAAATGATAATACTATGATTTTTTATTAAAAAATAAATTTTCCATTTAATATATATTTTGTGAAAAAAAAAACTATTCTATATAATATTTTTATATAAATAATAACAAAAGTTTAAAAAGTACTAATGTAGACACAGCCAGATTGTTTGTGTTTGTTTGTATCTTTTATTAAATTTTCATACCATATAATCTAAAATAACTTCTTTTTTTTTTATATATATAAAAAAATAAAATATATATTAATATTTTTTAAATTACGATTTTATATTTAAAACTATTTTAATTAATAATTTTTAAATCAAAACCATCCGAAACATATAGGAACACAATGTTCGAAATGTAGATGGAGTCGGGGTCCATGGACCTGGAACAACAAATTTGCAAAAAGAATGGCCCAACAGCTCAAGGTGATCGGCCCGCCCATCAACATATGCAGTTGATTTGAAGAAGAAGTCGAGGTTGAAAAGCTTGGTTAATCTGCTGCAGGTCGCCGGTGAATCGGAGCCTTTACGGATGTTTGGCCGACGGAGATTTCTGTCATTCCCTCTGGTCATAGGAGCCGTCGTGTAAGCTTTCTCCTTTTGTCCTTTCTTTCCTTTTTTTCTTTTTGGTGTGCGATTTGCGTTCTGAATCATGTGAATTTCGCACATTTCTTCATCTATTTGGACATTTTTCGCTACATTTCGATTTGTTCGTTTTCCGTTTGGTGATTCTGGAATTATTAAGCAGCTTATATTTTGGTGTCGTCTGAAATTGATCGAACTTTTCCTTGTTGAAATTCCACTGAAATAATCCACTTATTATCGCGATTAATAAGGGGAATTCGTGGATTCATGGTGATATCTTTTGATTACAAAAACAAATTTCCCAATCAATTTGAGAGAACAGGAGGGCTCCACGCAATCCGAACCCTAACTAGGGTTTTCAGTTGCAAGGTTCCATATCCAAAGCTAGGAACATAATATTCATGTTTGTAAATCAGTTGCTGGAGATCAAAATCATATCTAGGATTGGAAAGCATGGCTTGATTTGGGAACTCTGAACCAATTCAAGGATTATTTCAAATTAGATTGCATCTTCTTATCCTTAGCTCAAGAACAGGGCACTCTATCTGATTATTTAACAAAAACTTCTGTTACCTGCCTATACATTGGTTAGATATCTTTCACAAGTTGTTCCTTCTTGATTCAATTTCTTTTGATTAAATGAGTGAATGCCTAATTTGTAGGATAGGAGTTGTGTCAGGGAAAGCCATTTTTGGGCCCCCTCTTGATGACTACTGGAAAAAGAAGCTTGAAGAAGAGGCAGCTGCCACAGGATCAAAGAATGATCCTAAATGATTCCAAACCTTTTTTAAACATTCTTTTTGGTTAACACTCCCTTGTACAAGAAACCCTTTGGGCCTTACATGAATTTTCACAATAAAATTGCACTCATTTTTTGACAAACTTTGTCTTAAAACAACTATTGGGTTGCCAAAATCCAAGGGCTATCCAATACGTTCAAACACATATTGATACACACAGTGGTTACTGAAGAAGATTTGGCAGTCACTTTTCTGAGTGCTCCGACTCCTCTTTTAACCACTCTTTGCTGGAAAATCTCAGCACTTCTCTTGATGAACTCCAGCAGTTTCTCAAGTAGATATCCCAGACAGGATCTCACTGTCTCAAAGGTCACTATCCCTGTCATGTCTAGAATCAGTTTCTTGCACGGCATTTGTCCGATCCATCCCCAGTCTTCATTCTTGTTTCTTAGTCTCTCTGCTTGTAATGGGGTTTTGTTCCCCAACCCATTTTCGAAGTCAAACTCAATCTTTGAGGAACTAGAATTCAGCTTTGTGCTTTCTGCCCAAATGCAATGGCATGTTCGGATGAAACTTTCGACTGCGCCATTGCTGAGGCACACCAACAAGGCTCTAGCTTCGGCTATATGCTTTGGGTTAGTCAGGGCCGAGAAGAACTCGTTGTAGGTGTTGATGTTGATGGTCTTTTCTAGATAAAATGCCACTGCAGTGCTTACGAATATCCGTATGCAATCGCCTATTAGCTCCCTACACTTCTCCTGACACGCAATGTCGACCAGTTGATCCAGTCTTGATGCCGAACACAACCCTGTTACAAGATTCTTAGCGAAACTCCCAACTACTACTGAAGCAAAACCACTCCCTGCATCTGATAGAAATTTATCCATAACCCTTTCAGGGAAAGTAGTGATCTTATCACTTGCTAAACATCCACTTTGTCTGATCATCTCATGATCTCCATAGCCCTTTAGAATCCCAAGTATCAAAGCCCTAGTGATCCAAATCAGAGTCACTGAAATCTCATCAGACTTGGCAATTTTAGAGATCTGATTCAGACTCTGAGGAAGATAATCACAGTTTGACAGCAAGAATTCTTGCACATCTTTGGTAAGAACTCCAATGCCCTCAGCTGAACCAATGGCCATTTCAGCCAATGAAAGAAATGAGGCCAAAAGTTTGATCAATCTTTGCCTCTTCCTAACCACACAAGGCAAATTGTAAAGCCTGTAGGAAGTGTAACATGTCAAGCCTAATCCCCCCAACACAAGAACCCATTTTCTCCTCATCTTTACAAACTCCAAACCTTTCCCCAACAGCTCTAAATCCATGGAAATAGTCCTTGAGAAAACTTAAAAAGTAAAGTGCAGCAATGAAGGAGGGATCAAGATGATGAGGCAGTTGAAGGTTATCTAGTATATGTGATGGAATGAAGTAGGGGGGAGGGGGGGGGGGGGGGTAGGGATGAAAGTGATGAGGATGAGAGGATGGGGATGAGGATGATGATCGATCATGGCGGTTGGCTAGGTGTTCCAACCTGCTTGAATTAGACATCACTTTCAGAAGATGGCCAAACTACTAGATGATGTATTATTATATTCTAGAGGTGGACTTCAGGGTATACCTCTAAAGATACATCTTGGACTCCATGCTTGGAAAAGCAAATTCAGTATGTTCAATTTTTTCACACTTTCCAAGAAATTAGTTTAATAGATGCATTTATTTATTTATTAATTTTGCATTGTTTAATGAATATGACATCCTTGTTGATTAATAGGTTATGTAAATATATAGGATGTGTTTGGTTTCAGTTTAATTAATAAATTTATAATTTATATTAATTGTTTGAATTTTGAACAGTATCTAGGTGTTCTTTTATGATTTTATTTTTATTATGTATTGTTTTTTATTTTTTCCTAAAATAATAATAATTATTGTTGAATTTAATATTTTGTATGAAATAAATATTAATATATATTTTTGAAGTAGGTGTGCCGTGAGTTCATCAAGTCCAACCCCACAGCACCATGTCATTCATGATACACAAGTTCATCCACAGTATTGATCTACAAAACTGTGACAGAGGAAGTAGAAATTTTGTATAAAACGATAACTATTTTGTGACCAAAAAACCTCATCCTAATCGTTCCACATTAACCACAACCATCATCATCATTATTTTAATTTTCTACAGAAAATTTATTAAATAATGTTGACAGTATGTCCATTCAAAATAATTAAAATAAAAATCGGGGATTTTTGAACTTTATGAAGACTCATGATTAGGCCATCATATGAATGTAATTATATAAAAATAAAAATTAATAATAAGTACCAATAACACAAATTGATTTTCTATACAACATACTAAAAAAAAAGGTCATGGTATGACACAAGTCAGTCATATTAGCACATTTTTTTTTTATAAAATATATATTTTTTAAAATTAATATAAATAAAAATTTACATAATATTTAAATTAAAAATTATTTTTAATATAATATATAAATAAAAAATATACTATATATATATTCTATTTTATTTTATATAAAAATAAATACATTTTTTTTTGTCTAAATTCAATGTCTATTTTATTATTTTTATTTGTCTCATTCAAAAATATATATATTTTTCTTTTTGCTTACAAATGATTATATATAAATACTAAAATTTTTATAATTTTATAAAAATATTCATTTTTCTGAGAGTGCGAGGAATTAAGGTTACAATGCTAATTAACATATGTCTTTATTGCATATTGTACATGCCATTTGTAATAAAAATACGTGTAATTCGTTTATATTTATAGTGTGTTGTATAAGAGTATATTATGTGATAAAATATGCAAAAATTATCTCGAGTGTGTTCTTTTCAAAAATTGTCACATTTCCACTATTTATAAAATTATTATATTTAAAATTTACATTTTATATTTATTTATATCATATCATACAATTATTTAAATTCAAAATTTTTATTATTTAAATTTTAATCCGAAACTCAAATACCTAAACAAATACATGGATAATGTATTAGTTTATGTATTGAATTTGTATTATAAAAAGATAAATAATACATTGCAATAATAATATCATGATGTTTATTAGCACATATGTTGTTGTAAGACTTTATCTATTATTCGTTATATTCTATTCATTTATTTTTTGGCACCTGTCATCAAAATTTGTTTTAGATTATTTTAAATAAAGATTTATACAGTATTACGTTTTTAAATTTTTACTATAAAAATAATTATGACGGTGTTCTTTTATAAATTTTAACAAAAGTTTTTATTATTTAATTTTTTTTTTAAAAAAATATCAAATTAAATAATTATTTTTTTAATAATATGCTATAAATTTATTTTATATTCAAACTAACTATTTAAATTTAACTTTTTAATTCTTAAATACAAATAAAAAACCTCAAAACCACGAACAAACACACCCTATTGTTATATCCCAAAACAAAATTGATACTCTTTCTCTTATCTGGAAATCTGTTCTGTGTGCAGTGCAGCAGCAAACCTTCCATGCAAGTAACGGCCGTGGCGGCGGAGTCTTCCACTGAGCCGCAATCCAACACCAAGACAGCGACGTGTCAGCACCTCCGCCGCCGCAACTGTCTCCACACACGCCGCCTCGTCCGCCGCCTTTCACCATTCATCTCTTTCGGTAACCAATTTTCAATTTTACCCCCAAAAGCTTTTACACTGTTCTTCGAATGCGACGTCGTCTTCTCCTTCCAAAGAAAAACAGGTATCCTCACAATCCCCAATTTTCCACCACAGCTATATTAGGTTTTCGAAATTTGAAATTTCTGTGATTTTTTTTTTTTTTTTGCCTTTTTTCCAATCTTCCAATCCTTCTTCCTTTCCCCTTTTCGATTTCTCCCAATTCTCGACACGAAATTGCGAGTCAATTAATCAATCAATGTTCGTACGGATCTTTGAATTTTCCAATTCTTTCGAAGTTCTTCCGTGGCTGCTTTTTTGGTGCATTATCCTTTTCCCCCTTTCTCTTTTTTACTCTTCTTTTCCAACAATTTCCTAATTGTGTTCTTACATTCCTTAAAGTCGTGATACGAATTTGCAGAATTGGTTTCTAAATTTGGAATTATATATTCTTCTTCCCCATGTGGTTAGATTAAGCTCACGACTGTTTTCATATAATATTATTATTTTTCTTCCAAAAATTAAAGTCAATCGCAAATTGATTCGAAGGAGTTTTTCGTTTCCTTGATAATGAGGAAATCTTATCCCATTTCTTTAACAGAAAAAAAAGGCCTACAAGGATACAGTAGGATGTGTTTGTTTTGCTTTCTTTAATCTGGTAGCGTGTAGATTCCAGAAAAATCCACTCCTTACTTACACATGTATATATATATATAATATCCATATAGATCAGTTTCTTATTACAGATGTGATTCAAGAAGCTTCATCTTCTAGCTAGGGTTCTAAGCATTTTGTGTTTTCATTTTGTTTCTGCAGTTTGATTATTAATTTGATCCTCAGAAATTAAAAAGAAAGGTTTTGGGATATGGATTTTACTTATCGGCCTTATGTTGATCCAGAATTTGAAGTTCTTATTGAAAGAATCCATCCCCCAAGGTACCCAGCTCCCCCCCCCCCCCCCCCCTCTCTATATATGTATGTGTATATATATATATGTTTCAAGTTTATTTTGAGGTTTAATCTTCTCAGGGTTTGTGTGGACAATGATACCTATCCAGACTGCACTCTTGTCAAGGTGTGTACATACGGTGTATGAAAATTATTTGATTTTTTCATTAGTTTCTTGAAATTTTTTCTCATAATCTGAAAAACCATTAATTAACTATGTATATGGTGGTCATGAACGAAGTGCTTTTAATTTGTTATTTTTGGGCCAATTTCAGTGAGATAGTAAAGGAAGTTATTAACCTAGTTTTGTGAGGTCCGAGGTGGTTTTGAGTCTTTGGTTTTTAGAAAACGAAAACGACCTGTGATTGTGATCTGCTCTTCGATTTCTTTTGGTGATCGAATACGACCTCACGGCTGCATTCAGTGATTAGTCATTTTTGTGTCATTAAATTCATCGTCTCGTTAACTCAAAAAAAAAATAAAAATTATGATCCTATCAGGTTGATAGTGCCAACAAGAATGGGATGCTTCTTGAAATGGTCCAAGTTCTTACCGATCTCGACCTGGTTATCTCCAAATCTTACATCTCCTCTGATGGCGGCTGGCTCATGGATGGTTAGTAATTTAGATGATCTATATATATACCTCCTTGAATTGGTTTTACATTCTTGATTCTTGATTGAATATTTTTGTTTAGTGTTTCATGTGACTGATCAACAAGGGAACAAACTCACCGACGAAACCCTCATCTATTACGTGGAAGAGGTTTGTTTGTTTACATTTTCAGAGTTTTTTTTTTGCTGTTTCTCTTGAATTCGTTCCGAGAAAAATGGATTTGTCATTTGTGAGATACATTATTATTTTAAGATCAAGTATACCAACCAAAATGATACAATATGGACTTAGAAGCCAAAAAGTTATGATTATACAGTTTTAAAAAATAGTAAAAGTTGGATAGATCATAGTAAATTTGATAGTATAATATAAATGAAAAATAGAATTAGGGGTGCTGTTACTTGCTATTTCATTTTAATTTTTTTTTATTTATTTAAATAGATATAATAGTATTTTACGACAAATTAATGTATATATATATATATATTTTTTTTTTTTTACTTTTCGTCTCACTAAAAAAGTTATCCTTTAAATTTTCTTCATTTTTACAAAAATATTTATTTATTTTAATTGGAAAGAAAGATATGAAAATATATATTTATATATTTTACTAATTAATAAAATATTATTCTTTTGTCAGTCTTTAAAGCTGTTGTACTTTTTAACTTTAAAAATATATTTTTTTAACAAATGTCCTTCTATTATAAAATAAAGAGAAGTATTTTTACAATTTTTTTTTATTTTAATATAATAATTAATATTCAAATATCAATCCTGAATAAATAGGACTCTTAGAGTCGGACGGATGTGGTATTATTTTTTAATTTATTATAAAAGAATCAAAATAGTATTTAATTTTTTTAAATATTTTCTGTATATTTCTACATAAAAATGGTATCTTAAAAGGTGTATTTGGTCACAGTTTGTATTTTATATAATATGAATACAGTAAAATTTTAAATTGAAATAGTTTTGTTGATGATTATATTATTGTAAAATTGATTTTTTTAATATTAAAAATATAAAAAAAATTTAGATATATTGATTTAATATTTTCTTTAAAAAAAAAAACATAAAATTACAATCCATGCCCCTTTTTTTTTTTTTTTGATATAAAAGGGTATTTGTGCGAGTCGACAAGCCTCGATGAAAGCTAAGCCGATCAACCGCCAAGAAGTGAGGCCTCGTCACGTGTTGACAGGTCACATGGCGTTGGAAATGACCGGCGTCGACCGGCCCGGCGTCCTCTCGGAGATGACCGCCGTCCTTGCCGAGCTCGGCTGCCACATCTCCGCCGCCGCGGCGTGGACACACAACAACCGGGCCGCGTGCATCATCTACGTCGATGACGACACGACCAGCAGCCACGCACCAACAATGGACTCATCCCGCGTCGCGCAAGTCCAGGCGCAGCTCGAGCATGTCGTGGAGGCGCACCACCAGACCAACGAGCGGCGCAGCGTCCGGCTGGCAGCGCCGGCGGCGGTGGGGGGCCAGACCACCCACACGGAGCGGCGGCTCCACCAGCTGATGGCGTCCGACGAGGACTACCAAGAATGCTCGTCGTGTCGCCGGTGCGACTGTGAATGGGACAACCTCTACGCCTACTACGGCCGAGGATGTCCCGACAAGGGCGGCAATAAAGAGTGTGACGCCACGCATGTGAAGATCGAGAATTGCGCTGAAAATCATTACTCGATTATTACGATAAGGTGTCGGGATCGGCCGAAGCTGTTATACGACACGCTATGTACGTTGACGGATCTTCAATACATCGTCTATCATGCCGCGATTAGCTCCCATGATTCCACGGCATTTCAGGCATGTGTAAAAACGTTATAATTTACGAACTTGTTGTAATTATTACTTTAATCTCGTTAATTATGCTTCTCGATTTCTTCCTTGATCTTAGGAGTACTATGTAAGACATAAGGATGGCGGGACATTGCGCGGGGAAGGAGAAAAGCATAGAGTTTTGAAGTGTTTGATCGCTGCCACCGAACGGAGAGTTTCTCATGTACGATTGAACTATCTTATTTTTAATTAAATTTTGTTAGTAAGAACAAAAAAGAAAGAAAAGTTCACATCTCTTTTAATTTCGAACTATGAAAATATGAACGAAGAAAGTAAATTTATGGTCATGTAAGAAATGATCTGTTGATGTTTATTGGATTTGTGATCATGAGATTATAGGTTCAAACTCACGATGGTATTTGGTCGAGGTTTAATTAAAATGCATTACAAGAATAGCAGTTGTATATTACTATTGAATTTTGACTTTTTTATTAAAATCATGAATTTTTTGTAGGGGTTGCGGCTCGAGATCTGCACCGTCGATAAGGCGACGCTATTATCCGACACGACGAGGGTATTCCGGGAGAGCGGGCTATCGATAGCGCGGGTGGAGTTTGGCGTCCGCGGCGAGAAGGCAGTTGGGACGTTCCACGTGAAGGACATGTCGGGGGACACCGTGGCTCCGGAGACGGTTGAGATGATCAGGAAGGAAATTGGAGGCAGCATTAGCGTCGAAAATATCGACTCTTATTCAGAGGCCTTAACGCCGTTGACGACGAGCAGCTGCGGCGGCGTGGTGGAGCGGCCGAGGTTTAAGTTGGGAGGGCTGCTGTGGGCGCAGCTGGAGCGGCTTTCCGGGAATTTCAAGGCCGTAAGATCTTGAACGTACGTTCGATCGGACTCTGCAGAAAATCGACGGCCGGATTTAATCCGGCTTCTTGTAAATGGCAATCCATGCTGGGGTGCCCGGCCGTTCTGTAAATGCAAAATGCAAATTATAGAAAAATCACTGCTGACCCTTCATCGTTACACTATCATTTTTGCGTGTTTCACGCAAATTAATTCATTTATAAATATCAAAATATTTTATATTTTTATAATTTGTTTATTATGATAAAAATATCAATATTATTTAAATTTATTCATATTAAATATATTTAACAAATTTAAATTAATTATTTAATTTTTTAATGTATATATCACTCAAATCTTTTTTTTAGATATCTTTTTTATTGTATTGTATAGTAATTGTATAATGTTAATAATATTTTAATATATATTTTAATTTTTTAATAATATATTATCTTCGTCCGGCTCTAAATATCTTATTTATATTTTGTCCGGCTCTAAATGTCTCTTTTATTTTTCTTGGTACGTTGATATTTGAATATTAATTATTATATCAAAACTTAATACCAATATAAAAATCAAGATTATAGAAAGTACATTTTTTTATTCTTACTTTTTGAACTTTTAAATTGTATGTAAATGCACCCATACTAACTTAAAATGGTTCTAAATACTTTTAATTATCCAAATGGTTCTAAATGCTTCCATTCTAGATACATACTCTTCCTATCCCTTTTGAAGTTATCCTTTTCATTATATTTAATTAAATATCTACTTTTTTTTTTAAGGAAAAAAAAAAGAAAGTATAAATACTATTCATTATAAATAATTTATTTATGTTAAAACTATCAAATTAATTTACATTGCAAAATAATTTTTATATGCAAAATAATATTAATAACTTCTGAAGAGGTAATGTGACTGATGAAGATAGTATTTGGAAAGATTAGGCATTGAATGGTAGAAACTACAAACCTCAGGGACCGGAATGCAAAATTATCCGATTGTGCGATCGAATAGCAACAGCTTATAGGAACCGGAAATATAATCCGACAAAACCATTGAAGTTGGGAGTCTCACAGTCTCCAATCCCCAGAGCACAGATCGCCGGCGTTTCCACCGGAAATTCGACACCGTCGATTTTGGCTGCTAATCGCAGGTCATCATGTCGTGGCTGGCTCGATCCATCGCAAACACTCTCAAGTTCGACGACGACAACGACGAGGAAACCTACACCGACAAGAAATCCCAAACTAAACAGCCCGAAAACCCTGAATCCCCGAACGCCGACTCCGAGTCTTCTCCTCGTGGAGTCAAGGAGGACCTCTCGGAGATTAGCAAAACCCTAACTCGCCAATTTTGGGGCGTCGCCTCATTCTTAGCTCCTCCTCCGCCGCAGCCCGAGCAGAAACCCGACCCGGATGCATCGGAGACGGAGGATGGATCGATTCTGGGGATTCGAGGTGACTTTGCTGAGATTGGGGGGAAGTTCAGGAGCGGAATTTCGAGGCTGTCGAATAACATAAATGTTTCGGAAATCACTAAAATGGCTTCCAATTTTCTTCAATTGGAATCGGATGATGAGAGCGGCGAGAGAGGAAGGAGTGTAGGTTTGGGCGAGGCTGCAATCGGCGTGACTGAGGAAGTAGTGGCTTTCGCACGCGACGTGTCGATGCATCCAGAGACTTGGTTGGATTTCCCTCTACCTGAAGATTTTGAGAACGATGAAGGTAAGCGGAACTTCAGTGTTAATTTTTCAGCTTCTTCTGCCATGATTGGAGTCTAATACACCTATATGTTGTGCAATTTATGGATGGATTTGGTTAATTTTGGAATTGATGCTTGGAAGATATTCTTTCAAGTTGTGGGTTGATTTTGTACTCATTTAATGCTCTGATCATTCGCTTTTTCACTGAAAAAACTGTGCTAGTACACTGTTAAGTGAACATCTATCAGTATGAATAATGTTTGGCTGTCTTAACGTGCGTTTGAATGTGCTTCAGGGTATTTTTATGTCTTGGGATCTTTGAATATGAAATGTTTTGGATACAAGGGTTTGTTCGCAGTTTTGGCTCAGAAAATGTTGTTTTTGGGTATGAAAATGTGTTTTATTGTAAGCTGCCTGGTATGAAATTTGAATCGAAATTATAAATAAACTAGCCATTAGTTTCTCTAAATTTGTGAGAAAGCTTATGTTTATATTGCCGATTTTCGATGATTTATTTAAATACCATACAAAAGCTCTTATTGTGACAAGATTAGGCTTTCATTCCTAAAATTTAATTCCTTTGAAATCTAAGAATGTGATGCCGGTGTCTTGGAATAATGTTGATTCTTTGTAGTTGGTTTTATGAAATAGTCTTAATTTTGAAATGTGCCGATAAATTGCAAAGTTTGGTTATGAAATTTATGTTAGACAATGATCGACTACTTATGTCTTTGTGAATACCAGATTTTGATATGTCTGATGCCCAGCAAGAGCATGCCTTGGCGGTCGAACGGCTTGCCCCAGGTTTAGCTGCCTTAAGGTTTGAATTGTGCCCTAGATACATGAGTGAAAGCAACTTCTGGAAGATTTACTTTGTCCTCCTTCACCCGAGGCTAGACAAAGAAGATGCCGTACTTCTATCCACACCTCAGGTTCTTATATCTGCGTCATTGTTAGTGTAGTCTTTTCTTTATTATTCTTGTTTTAAATCTTCGCTGACACTGATTTTAGAAAATGAAAACAAATTACTACATAAAAAATTGATATGGAACCCTTATTTCTGAAGTTAGAGTAGTTATTAATATTTTTAGTGCGTCTTGGAGATGCAAACTACTAACCAACCAATATTAATTTGCACTTATTATGCATTTCTACGTTATAATTTATTTTTTAATTGGAGTGCATATAGGTTATAGTGCATGTTGCAACTTATCTCCTCAAGTTAGTAGGAATCGCCATATTAACAGTTTAGTGTTCCTCTTTCGTGTTTATTAGAATCAGAGATGTGCAAACTTATGCATATATGTGCCATGCCTATCTGATGTATTCTCAAAACGGGATTTTCTACTTTGCGACTTCTTTAGCTCTTTTATCAGGGTGACACATTTTCTATTCAATGTTTCAGTTTTTTCTTTGGTATTTTTTGCCCTTTATACCTAAAATTTATCCCGTTGCTGCTTTGTAATCTGCATATTTATCCTCTTGGAAAAAAACCTGTTGTGGAGTGGGTTATTGTATTGTTGGAGCTTGTGAAGCATGCCTGACAGAATGATGAGTTTCATCAAAGCTGATTGCACAATTACAATCATTGTTGGTATCGGAAAACCTATAGAGAAATTCAATCTGAAAGACAACACTAAGATTGGTTAAAGTCTGCACAAATAATATTAGAAAAGCCAGCTCAACCTTTTGTTCAAGTTTAAGTCTTCGGTGTTTATACTATACATCATTCAGCATCCACAGTTAAACTGCAGATTTATATTTGTTGATGGACTAGTTTTGGGCATTTTTATTACAGAACAAAGCTTGAATATTTGAATAGCGTTTGAAGTTCATGTCCTACCCACAATTTTCTTGTACTGTATTCCAAAGTTTTCTAGAAGCACCATGTTATGTAATTTCAATATTTACTGTCGCTAATGGTTAAATCTCTTGAGAACCATATAGTTGTGACTTCCAGTAGTCTTGCACTGTTAACCATTGGTCTTGATGTTAACAATTTTGGGCGAACCCCCTTCGCCAGTCCTTCCTTCTTCTGGCTAATAGCTAAAGTAGAATGTTTTTAATCGTATTCATTACTAATTGCTTGGTCTCATTATTTTAATTGGCATACTATCATGTTGCTTTTAGTATTCCAATTTTTTGTTTATTCTTGCCGGTGTTAACTTTATTGCTGCAGTTTGTTCTCTAAATGATTTATTAACTTGATTTTTCTCAAAGCACCCCTTAATGGAAGCCACAGAGCCATTTATGTTCTTTAACTGAGTTGTTAATGATCTACATTATTCCTTAGGTCCTGGAAGCTAGGGCCTTGCTGACACATGATTTGAAGAACCGAAAGACAATCAAATCAGAAGATATTTCTGGGAAAGATTCTTTAATTCCACAGGAAACTTCTATTCCACATCATGACGAACCACTTTCCGTGCCATCACCTGTTTCTTATGATGATAAGCATGAAAACTCATCTAACCTCAACCCTAGCTCTTCAACCATGGCAGCTACTTCTGATATAGGAAAACATGAAACAGACACAGATGAAATCGAAACTGTTGACAAGTCTGTCATCTCAGAGAAGGATAACAACGGACACGTGAAATCTGATTTGCCTGGCGCTTCTGAGAACAAAGATGAAGATGATACAGACGACTGGTTAAATGAAGAAGTCGGGACTGTGGTTGGGAAGAACATTCCCATTGATAATGATGATGATGTCTCCTTTAGTGATCTTGAAGAAGACGATGGAGATGTCCCTTCAAGCTACAGGAAATCAAATTACAGCTCTGACAAAGACTCGCGAGATTGGGTTCAACTGGGGAAAAGTTCGCCCGACTCATCCAAGGATACTGATGTGAAGCACTCGGATGAGGAGAATGCATGGCTGGACGTCAACGATATTGTGGTCAGTTGACTCATCTACTAAGCAGCCTCTTAATATAATACGCTGTGAGTGTTTCTTTCTTTCTTTTTTTCTTACTTTCGCTGTCGATAAGTCCAATTTCATGTCGTTTATTGCATGCTTTGAGGTTTTATGAATGATAATGCTTGTACATAAGTGCACCTCTCCTAAATAAACCTCGGACGGATGCTGCTGATTTAAAACAGTCTGATATTTTAATTAAAGTCCCTCGTGAAGGCTCTTAATATACGCCGTCTTTCTTGCTTCGACTACTGTGAATTGTTCTAGTTAATAATATAGGATTATTCCCTCTAGGTATGTTTCTTGTTGGTTGTATTGCTGTGAAAAAGATTGATGCAAGTTCATGACTTGTTATGTGCTTCTTGCCAGTTTGTGTTGAATTGATTTTGTTTTTAGGACTAATGTCTGAAAATGGAAAATTAAGGTTGGTTTTGGTTCAATCCCTGTGTTTTTACTTTTGAGAGACTTTTGACTGTTCAATTTTCATCATTATTTTTTTTATAAAAATATTTTTCTTAAAATTTTTTGGAGATATTTTCAATTTAAATGGTATTGTTTGGTTGGTTCAAAACTATTTGTTTGAATATTGATCATTAAATTTTATTTAAATTGATAATTACACTCTTTCATTCATTTTTATTTATTTATTTTGTTAAGTAGTAAATAGGCAGCTTGAAATTTGAATAGAAGACTGGCGTAAACTGTAGCTCAAAACATTCAATATTGATTACAGTTTATTTATAGTTTTGATTTTAACTAAAAAATTAAAACCGAAGGCACATATTGGTTCAGACTGTTGGATTTGAAATTGCTTGTACAAATTTCTGAGAGTTTTATTAATTTTATTTTTATTTCGGTTTAAGTAGTAACTTAGATTTCATATTTTATAAAATAATAATAATAATAATTTATTTTACAAAAAAAGAAAAAAAAAAGAAGAAAAAACATAATATCAGTCTACAAAATGCTCCTAGGCCATCTCCAATCCATACACAAATCATGAATATAGTGTTTGATAAAATAAAAAATTCAATATTGTATTTTTGAAAAAACAAAATTTAATAATGACAAAATTCCAAGATTATGGGTAAATGAAACCAAACGTGGGCTATATATGTTTTGTCTTATTTGGATCGGCCCATTTTACTAGGTATGGGCCTGGCCCATTGGATCGATATAAAATCGTTTCGGGTTCAATTCGGTCCTCACTCTCGCAATCGCTCTCACCGTCATCTCCTCCTCCGTCATCTCTTCTCTTCTTCCTCACACAGGTTACGCTCCTCTACTGCGCCAATTCTGCGGCGGACGACGGGCGGAAGGGTATGGCGTTCAGAGGACGTGGACGGGGGCGCGGCGGCTTCGGAAGAGGCGGATATCTGTTGTTGAAGCAAAATCCTTTCGGGCTTTTTCCGGAAATTGAGGTTTTAGGATCTGCTGAATATTCTCCAAGTCCAGTCATTATACAGATGATCAAGTGGTCTTCAGTCTGCAGAAGGATTGTCAGACATCGTCGCCCTACTATTACGAAGATAGGACCGAACGCCTTCGGAAGAAGCAAAAGCAAGATATTGAAAGGTATTCAAGAGGAATTTAGGAGCAACTAACGATAGGCCTCCACTCTCGGACTTCATTAAACTGGACAATGATCATATGCTGGCTGAATTAGCCCGAGGTGGGAACAGGGAAAGGCGGACTACTAAGAAAGTCCGGGGGAATCTGGAGTCAGACTTGGAGAAACTAGATATGTTGGAAAAGCGAAGAGAAGTCTCAGGGCGAAGGAGGAACCGAAAATGAAGAAAAGGAAGAAGAAGAAGAAGAAGTAAGTGAGGACGATGAAGGAGAGTTTAGCGATGAGGGTGATTACGAACAGGCTGAATATTTCGATGATGATGAAGATGATTACAACATTGCAGATGACAACAACGATGACGAACCATACTTATGATCTTCTGTACACAGCTCGAAAGAAGGATACCTGGTTCGAATACAAATACAGCTTCCCTCTCCCTCCCTCGAAAATCTTTCACGTGCCATTTAGATCAATTTTTGTTAGGTTGGTGTTTATTAGAGTGAATTTCTCGATAGATTTTCCAATACCAACGACTATTTTGGGTTTGAATGACCATATTTTCTGTATTGTGTAATTTTTTGTGCAGCATAGGATGAGAGATGATGTGGCAAATATAACAACACCACCATTCTTTGCATTCTCAGACAGCGGGGCCACCGGCAACGACAGGGACTGAGGAAGTGGTTGCGCGGCAGAGGCGGAAACGAAAGGGTGAAATAGCTGAGATAATTTATTTGCAAGTTGAGAGTTATGATTGGAAGATTAATTTTATCATTGGATATGAATGTTATTTTGTTGAAAATTAAAGTTTATACAATAGAAATAAATAAAAAATAATATATTAAGAAAATAATTGAGATGGAAAATTTTGAAATCAAGTCCCAAGTTATTCTCCAACACTGTGTCTATGCCTTTTTATTAAGCCAACAGAAACTCATTTGGGATGATAATAGAAGTGTCATGCATGGAGTGTGTGATAGTATTTTGTGGCATTCACAAATCTTGCATGAATCTGCTGTTGAAAAGGATTAATACATTTGATGATGGAGCTTCTGAGATTGAGAAAATGATAACAGACATATCTCGAAGATGGAGGGTGCTCAGTGGCCTGAATAACTGGCAGAACCTCCTCAACCCTCTGGATGGGGATCTACAGAGTTATCTTCTTCACTATGGCTCAATGGCTCAAGCAACATACGATGCATTCAACTCAGAGAAGCGATCGAAGTATGGTGGGAGCTGCAGATACGCGAAGAACAACTTGTTTTCGAAGGTGGGGTTGGTTAAGGCCAATCCTTTCAAATACAAAGCTGTAAAGTATATATATGCAACAGCAGACATTGAAGTCCCGAAATCGTTCATCTTGAAGCCCCTGCGGCATAAAGCAGCCTGGTGTGGGAAATCAAACTGGATGGGATATGTTGCAGTAGCCACTGATGAAGGAAAGATAGCGTTGGGAAGAAGAGACATTCTGGTTGCTTGGAGAGGGACTATTATGCCGGTCGAATGGGCCAAGGATTTCGAATTCCCTCTGGTATCAGCATCCACCATTTTTGGAAAAGCTTGCGGCGATGCTAAGGTGCACCAGGGTGTTGTGTCCCTGTACACTTCATTCGATCCCAACTCAAATTTGAACAAAACCAGCGCGCGAGATCAGGTCGGGTGAATCGAATCTGAAACTATCTTGTTCTTGTAGTAGTATTACGGTTAATTGACATTACCATTTTCCAGGTTCTGTCAGAAGTAAGAAGATTGTTGAAACAATACATGAACGAAGAGGTAAGCATAACAATCACGGGGCATAGTTTGGGCGGAGCTCTTGCGAGTCTGAATGCAGCAGACATTGTCTGTAATGGGCTTAACAAGATTAGCAGAAGCCATTCATCTATGGGGTGTCCTGTGACGGGGTTTCTCTTTGGTGCAATGCGGATTGGCGACTTCGAATTCAGAGACATTTTGGAGTCGATGAAAGATATTCACATCTTAAGGGTTTGTAATGCTACTGACATTGTTCCTTATTATCCAACAGTAGGGTACAGTGTTGTTGGAGTGGAGCTGGAAGTGGACAATCGAAAGTCTCCATATCTGAAGCGATCCAATAAGCCTGCTGCTGGTCATAATCTGGAGTCGGCTTATCTGCACGCAGTGGCCATGGAGAAGGAGAAGGGGAAAGAATGGAAAAGAGACGTTGCTAATGCTAACAGGACTATGAATGCTCTAAAAGATAAGTTGTTGATTCCGGCCCGTTGGTGGGTTGAGAAGAACAAAGGAATGGTTCAATTGGAGAATGGGAGATGGGCGCTGCAAGATCATGAGACAGATCTGGACGAGGATGATTGATCAGTCTTTGTTTGTATTTGTACTAACTAAAGTCAATTATGAGTTGTTTGTAAGGTATTAGGTTATCAAATAATAATAATAATAATAATAATAATCTATTCTGGATTAAATATTCATATACTCGATTGATTTGATCAAATGTTAATTCAAATACTACACAATCTGAAACGTGCAAAGGACTTCAATTTTCTACCATCAACAAACTTGGAAGATGAAACTCCAATAATTTGCACAACATATGGTTGCAATCCTTAATGTTCCTCCGAAACCATTTACAAATCCTTTTTATTCACAAATTGCATTTCATCAATTTATTATTATTATTTTTTCTTTCTGTCTATGTATTTCCTTCATTATTCATTTCAAATTTTGGTACACACAACAGCAAATTTCCCACAGCATAACTCCAGCACATAAAAGTGAAATTTGCTAAGCCAAGTAGGTAAATACTGCATCAAGACAACTACTGAAAAATACTAACCTCTCAACACCCTTGTAGGTCTCTCCATCTCAGATAGACGAGCCCGGCCCGATAATGCGTGTAGGCCCCGGCCACCACCAGAATGTGGAAGAGCTGGTGGCTGTGGCCGGCAATGTCGAATTTCCCGGGCATCCACTTCTCCGGGATCCTCAGCGCATAAACGAGAGCTCCCAATCCGTAAAATACGCCCATCAAGATTTCATATCCAGTCGTGTGAAGTGCCTCCGGCTGGTTCCAGAATAAGATGAGCTTGTGCAATATAGGCGCTGCGCCGGAGAATCCCATCCCGAAGAACAGCGCTGCGCGAATGTTGCGATATTCGGGTGTTTGGAAAACCGGGAGGAGGGATACCAAGATTGTCCCGATTCCAAGGACTGTTATAAATCCCATGTAGAGATTGCAGAAGATCGGATAGCACATGAAGGAGTAGTAGACAGGGGGGTAGAAGGATGTCGAGATGAGCGCAGCAATTCCTGCGTAGTCGAGCCTGAGCATGATGTAAGAAACGCGCTCGGAGTGGCAGGATAGTAAGTGGCACGTGCTGCTGGCTAACAGGCAGAACATCGCCCCCCCTAGGAATGCGAAGAACGGCCATCGTGTGATTGGCCTTGTCAGCAGTGGCGCTATTATATTTGCCACGTCATCTCTCATGCTATGCTGCAAGAAATTACGACGCAGAAAAAAATTGTTATTTGATGACAAAACCTAATTAATGATCATGAGAAACATATCTTCGACATATACTAATATCTGAATGCCAAAGCGTAAATTATCACGTAGAAAGGAAAAGAATCAAATATATAAAGATGAAAAGAAGTACCAAAACACAAGTATTGCTGTGGTTGCTGCTGGAAAGTCTGTCCGGCAAACAGTTGTAGAGAGCTTCCATAACATGCCAATTAGAGAAAGATGGAAGGCAAGTAGCCAATTCTGTATGAATTTTCTGAAAATCAGCTTTTCTCAACACATCAGGTAAGTTTTGTAGTCTATGAAGGTCCACAACATTTGGAACCATCATAGCAGTGTAAATGGTTAGTGCTAGGAAAAGGAAGAACCCTATCAAATGCCTGCAAAAGAAAAGAATAATGAATAGCTGTCCGAAAGCTTGATCAAAGTTGAAAAGTTCCACATAAATACATAATATATGATACTAAAAAACAACAGAAATTTGAACAAGGATAGCATGTCTTAAATTCATGATTATAGTGCCTTGGATATGAACAATCCACAGCAAGCTATATAACCTAAATTTTACCATAATACAACGTAAAAAATATCTGGTAAAATACAAAAAGGAACACAACCTATTCTTAATCCAAGATTAAAAGCCCTTCCCATCTACAGTATATGGTAAACTGTTAAAAATTGACTAAGTGATAATCTATCACCTCCCGGCCACCACATTTTTGTGATCTATAACACAAGAATAATCAAAACCACCATCAGACAGTCTTTTTAATGTACTTCTAGTAACCTTAGCAGCCATTATTCAGACCATTTAGTATACTAACTCGCCATTATTTTGGGTCCATATGTGAATTGTGATAAGTAAGCATCTTTATGCATCTAATTCTTCTAACCACATAACTTTATCCAGAAAAGAGGTATAATCTATTAAAACACATAAGAATCAGACTTTTGTAACAAAACTAATAACTAAAATCGTAAAATTACAATATAATTTTCATACAAATTACTAAAATAATAGAAGAGTTTCACTTACCAGACTAAAGATATAATTTTATTTTACTTTTAGCTTCTACTTGGCTATTTTACATCCAGAGCAGTGTTCATAGGATTCTTAAAGTCAAACTACAAAATTTGAACAAAATACATATCATATTTCACAATTATGAATTAAGTTAAATAGGTCAATGGCCATATGTTAATATATTTTCAAAGTGCAGAACCTTCTAATAAGCTTGCTTAAGATGCAGAAACAACTAATGCCAAAAGGATTTTATTCTGCATCTTTAAGCAACATCTTGAAAACAGATGACTTTGAGAGGGAATCTGGTGGTTCATGTATTTGCCTTCGGCAGCACATATAACTGAAGCTAATCCTTGAAAATTTGCAAATACGACGAGATTAATCGTAAGGTGGTCTTCATACGATCCTTGCTAGTATTAAGCTTCATTCAAATCGAAATTCCAAATAAAAACATCAACCAGCACTAACTACAAGATCAACATCCCTTTTCACCCAACCATTTTATCTATTATTCTGTCAGCACTTTTTGCACACATATGAGCTTCATTGACCTTTTCCAATCTACAAAATCGACACATTCAAGCAAAGAATGAAAAAACTAAAATAAATAAAGCAAGTAAAACTTGAAATCATCACTAATAACAACATCTTCATATCGCCAACCCTAACCATTATCAAGAATAGTACACTAGTTAATAACAGACTCAACATGCATAAAAACACCAAAAAATGAAATTAATAACAAGAAAATCAAATAAGAAAAACTCTTACGTCCAAACATTGAGAGTCTCATTGTGAACGGTGAAAACGCTGAGCAAGACCTGCTTCAAAGGCCATTCACATCTGTAATGGCCAAGAATATATTCGTTGTCCTTCAAATAACCAGGCAACGAGTGGTACTCTACCAACTGATACTTAACCTTTTTCCACAATCTCTTCCCTTTCCCTTCTCTGGACGAAGAAATTAACCCCTCATTCTCAGTCAATTCCATCAACGGCTTCTCAGAGTCGCAATTCCCCTGATTCCCGCCCATCGTGTCTCCAATTCACAAATTAACCACCAAAATTAACCTAAATTGCAAAAATCGATTATCGTTTCAACCGCAATCGACAATATCTTCAATCCGTCTGCCCTGCATGCTCTCCCATGACCTCAATTGAAATTGAACGGCGAAAACGTACCTTCAAAGCAGGACCAAACAGCCGCCAATGGAGGAACCAAAATCAACGTGATTATTCAAGCTATTTGTAGTAACTCCAAACACATATCCCACCTAGCATAAAAGAAATCGTCCCAATGGCCCCAGCTTGTCCTCGCGGACGGCGGATTCAACAAGAAGTACGGGAGCAATTACGAGGCCAAAAAATTAGGACGAAATTAATTGAAAGCCACCATTCAATGCCGCAACAAAGCCATGTGCAAGCCCTCTCTGATCTTCTGGTTTTAAAGACACGGAAAAGGGAAATGGCGGAGCTTATCGATCACACACGTCTGATGGGAAGAAATTAACAAAATTGATGCTTGGGAATGATGCGGAGATGCTTCTGACGATTTTTGGTTTCTGGTTATGATTTAAAAGCTCATTCATTTCTTGTTTTCTCTGCTTTAAAAGCGTGAAAGTGACTGCAATTAATGTAGCGATTCTTTCGATTTGGAATTTTCTATGTGAAACACGCTTTCTTCGATATTAATATTGGTTTTTTTACTTCACGCCTCTATATTGTCGTGTTTAAAGAAATTGCGTCTTTGACAGCGACTTAACAAACAATTCTAGGCACGGAACAAATGCATCTGTTCACCCAGCATTTATTAATATTAATATTATATTCTTTATTTGCTTTTATTTATATAAAAATTATTGTTTTGTTTTAAAATATTAAATCAAAAAAAATTCAAAAAATAACTAATTAAGCACACTCATATATTTATAAAATTAGATTGGAGGATGTTCATTTGTTAAGAAAAAATAACTTATTTTTATTAAAATTTATAAAAATATTAAATTAATTTTATTACTTTAGAATCAATTTTTAAAAGGATAGTGTGAATAATAAAATACTACTCCGTAGCTTAGAATTATAAACATTTTATTATTACAATCTATTAATTATAATTCAATACACTATGAATTTTCTACCATATATAAAATACTACTATTTCTTTGACAAAAATAAACGAATACATGCACAATTAACATAAAAGTTTTTTTTTTTTTTTTATACAAAATATTGCATTCAACAATTATATACTATATAACTTTAAAATCAAAACACGCACAAATAGTAATAATTATAAATAATAATAATAATAATAATTCTTTAGTTGTGTTTTCTACCAAATATTTTTATTGGATATCTACAACAAATTTTTATTCATCCTTCAAAATAGAATATTCAGTGGTATATATTGCTGCCATTGTTAACAAATTTGAACATTGTTTTATTGAAAAGGAGTTTTAGAAAAATAATATGATAACAGAATAATTATTTTTGAAATTTGAAGTGAACATTAAATTTATTTGTAATTTATTTAAGAAGCCAATTTTGAATTTAATTGATGTATAAAATGAATGCTCAGAAATTAATGAGAAGTCCACTGAAAAGTTGGCTGACCTAGACCGGGCCCAACTGACTTGGGCCGATTTTGAATTATATAATTTAATAAAATAAATTAACATGATTAAATTTTAGATAATATTAAATGAAATACTATTATTTATATAATATGTTGACGATAAAGTACATATAATAATAAAATAGGTATGTTTTCGTAATTTTTACAATAATTTTTTATATTCATAGTATAACATACTTATAAAATATATTTACATGCAATAAGGTAATTTTTTTAAGTATTTTCCCGTTTGTAATAACAAACTTTCCCAAGAATTTTTGCTTTTATTTTATTTCTTTTTCTATTTATAATATTATTAACATAATTACTATAATATAATGAATAATCATGAAATTGCTATAATATTTATATAATATAAATAAAGAAATACTAAAATATGGGAAATGACAAGTTCACTTCGTTCTTATTGAAAAACATCTTCCCAAGGAGCGGTTGGTGACGGTCATCTCCCACCGTCGGATGAACTCATTCTCCACCGTCCGATCTCCCGTCCAGATACTATAAATACCGGTCGTCTTCCTCATAGCCCTACCAGAACCTGCAAACCCTAACTACAATGACCACTCAAATTCCCGTCATTGATTTCTCAGACTTGGAGCAGAAAGCTTCATGGCAATCGATAAAGAGCCAAGTGAAGAAAGCCTTGGAGGAATACGGCTTCTTCGAGGCGAAGTTTGAGCAGAGTCCTCTCCATGTCCGACAATCGGCGTTCGAAAAAGTCCAGGAAGTCTTCAATCTCCCGATCGAAACAAAACGGCTTAACAATTTCAAAAATCCTGGCCGCGGCTTCTTAGGGCGAGAACCGAGGATTCCGATGTACGAAAGCTTGGGAATCGACAACGCCATCTCTCCCGGAAGCATCGAGAGCTTCACCAATCTAATGTGGCCTCAAGGAAACCCTAATTTCAGGTACTAATTGAGTTAGATTCACTTCTCTGTTTCTGTAACCGCCATGGATCTGTAATTTCATTATTTTTGAAATTTTAATCAGTGAGGTTGTGAGTTCGTATTTGAGGAAAATGGCGGAATTGGACCAAATTGTGAGGAAGATGATCCACGAATGCTTTGGTCTAGAAAAACACCTAAACAACCACATGAACTCGACGGAATATTCCCTGAGATTCCACATGTATGACGGCGTCGAGAACGGCACCAAATCGGTCGGACTTAAACACCACATGGATCAGAACTACCTGACGATATTGCAGCAGAGCGAAACTTTAGGATTAGAGGTGAAGACGAAGGGCGGAGATTGGGTAGCTCCACAGTGCTCTCTAGATTCGTTCATCGTCATGACCGGACTGTCCTTCCGCGTAAGTCTCCGTCCTTAATTATCTCTCTAGAATTGCAGATCGCCGGCGGCGATGTTATGGCGGTGGCTCTGTAATTGCAGGCGGTTACGAACGGGCGGCTTTATGCGCCGCTCCATGGAGTGATGATGAAAGGGGAGAAGACGAGGTATTCGATTACGCTGTTCTGTGCACCGCAGGCGCAGAGTGAAGTGAAGCCGGCGGAGGAGATGGTGGACGAAGAGCATCCATTGCAGTACCGGCCGTTCGAGTATGGAAAGTTCCGGCAGTATTTTCTCACCGGCGGAGGCTTTGATTCCGACGATACTCTCAGGGACTTCGCTGGAATTTGAACTGCTTGAAAATTAAATTAATGTGTGATGTTTGGGACAGCAATATATATATATATATGTGTGTGTTTTATTTTATTTTGGTAATAATTTTTAAAAATATTAACATATAACTCGTGCTAAATGATATATTTTATCTTTTATGAATTAATTTTTTTTTTTGTGTATTTATTTTTTAAATTGATTTTATTAAAATTATATATAAAAAAATATTAAATTAATATATAATTTAATATAAAAATAACCGTGTATATATATATATATATATATATAAAGATATAAAATTATCGATAATTTTGGACTTTCCATTTGATCTTTCCCTTAGACACACAGAGATAAAGAACTGACCAAAGCCCATAGAAATGGACGTAGAAAATGAATCTTCCTCATCAAGACTTTCCGACGCCGGCGGCAAAGGAAAGGACAATCTGCCGGCCGCCGGCGACGATCAGCCGATGGGTGAAGAGTTGTCGAACGTTGAACAGGATGAAGATCGGAATGTTGTGCGGCGGGCCACCCGCTGGGACGTCGGCGGCGGCGCACCTTTGCCGAAGAAACGGCGGACTTCCCGCTGGGACGTTGTCGGCGACCCACCTGTGCCGGAATTTATAAATCCGGCGGAGAATGTACGGGAAGCTGGTCCTCCACATCTGGAGATGGATCCAAGCACTTGGAGAAGGTACGTATCAATGTGTATTGTTGATTTCTTGAACCCTTAGGTTTAATTATAGTTTTGAATGTTTTTTATGCGAAGAAAATATTATATACAGTGATTTTATATTATACTACTCCGTCCCATGTATTGTTTGCTACGAGGTATTTTAGAAGGGGTGTAATTAATAGATAATTAAGAATATATTAGTAAAAATAATTATCATATAATATTAATAATTATAAATTAAGATTAAGATAATTAATTAGTTTAATTAAAATTTTTAAAAAAAATTTAAAAAAAAATTAAAAAGTTTAAAATGAGATTAAAGTGTGTAATGGGATGGACAGAAACAGCAACATGGTACGTGGGACGGAGGGAGTATTATTTATGATCTTTATTGTGATGTGTAAATATTTTATTTTCTTATACTATTTTTTAAAAGAAAAAATTAAAAATAAAATACTAAAACAAACAGTTTTTTATTAAAAAAACGTTTTGATAATAATAAAAATTAATAAAAAGTTTTTCATTTCGTACCCATTCAAATGGCCTATTTGAGATTTTGTAGCAGATTAAATATGATTTCTAATTTACTACTAAAATACGTTTGTAATTAGATTGCATATATAGATTCTTTTATTTATATTTGAACTATTTGGATAAAATAATTCAGGATATATTTCCATAGAGAATCGCCTTACTTGTATACTTCAAATGAATACACAATGCTATTAATTTAAATCCATCGACACTTTCATTTCTTGATTTTTCCACTATGATCAAAACCCTAACCCTAACCCTAATTCCCAAATCAATTTCATTTACGAATTCCCTTAACTCATCAGGCATCTCCCAACTAACCTCATCTGTGTGAAGAAGACTCTAACGGCCAATGACGTCATCTCAGTCGGCGCTAGCCTCCGCCTCACCGAGTCCGACGCCGTGGCCCTAACCGGCGTAGACGACCCCAATGCTTCTTCGTTCACGTGGTTCAAGCCCATGCCTGTCGTGTTCGACTCCAATGACACACAATATGATATGGTGATGATGAGGCGCCTCGGCAACGATGGCTCGTCCAGCTACTCGATCACGACGGGTTGGGACTCTTTCCTCGAGCACAACCGCCTCAGGGCCGGCGACGAGATCAACTTTTACAAAACCGTCGATGAGCGTGTCTCCGATCAACCCTACCTCGTCATCAAGTACTTCCGGAGGCCCCGTTCCCCCGTTCGTCGGCCTCGTCCTCGTATTCGACTTTTGCAACGTTCTAGATAGACGAAATTTTTGCCCCCGCGGCGCGCCCCGTGATGTATGTACAAATTGTTGTTATGATATAGATTGTGTTTACTCAATAATATTTTGATATGACTCTTGATAAATAGATGTTCATTCATACTATATACATAGAGAATACACATACTTTATTAGCTGAAAAAGTCAATAGTTTAACATAAAATAGTTTTAATTATTTATATTACTGATATAATTTTACATACTAGATGAACATATGTTTATACTTAAATAATATTCCTTAGATAATTATACAGGATACTTGAGATGAAATATATACTGTAAATTGAACACAGAAGGTGGAACGAATGGAATATTTTTTTATAAAAACAATTTTGTGCAATATTTAAGAAATATATTATTATTAAAAGTTAATCTAATAATTATGAATTAATCATTACTCTTGCTTGTATGATTTATCCAACATATTAGCTTTTACAAAAATATCATATTAAAAAAACCTTCACAAATTAAACACCCTCAATTATTATTATTTAAAATATTATAAGATTTTTTTTACTATTATTGTTTTTCATTTCAAAACATTAAAGCAAACATCTCTGTGCCATAATAAACCCTGTTTCAAATTATGATTTTACTGTTTTCAAATCACAATTTTCAAACAAACTTTTCATTGCAATCAAGTCCCAAACAACACCATACATTCCAAATTCACCCTTATAAAGTAAACAAATTACCAACGGGAGAAAAAACACAGAGCCTCACTCATCCATCTTACTCAGTTCTTGGACTTGGAATGTTTAACCAGCCAATCAATGACCTGGTCGATGTTCGTCGAGTTCTTGCAAGAGATCATGAAGCAGCACACTTCCCTGTCCGTGATCGACTTCAAATCCCTGCAATTTCCAAATGCAACCTCAACTTATTACATATACACACTAATAGAAGTTCAGATCATTTCTTGGTACACATACATTTGATCAGTCAATGCCTGCTTCGACACAGCCTGAGGATTGTCGATCTTGTTTCCCAACACCAGTAAAGGAATTCCGCTCAGCGATGGCTTACTCAGAAGCTCGTGGAGTTCGCTTTTAGAAATATTGATGTTGTCGTGATCTGCAGCATCCACAACATACCTGCACCAAATTTGTGGCAATTAGATGTTTTATAGATGGATCAAACACTTATATGCAGAATTATTGAATCCGTTTATAAACAAAGAAGGAGCCATCCGTAGATCTTCCTTGTGCAATATTCAAGATTTGTTTGAAATAATCGTATCCTAAGATCAGACAAGTAATAATGATAAAATATCCCAATCCCTGTTGTCCCTTGAACTTCTTGTTCAAATTGGTTCAGATTATTCCCTAACAATTTCCAGGAGAGAATAGCGAGGATTAGCAGGCCTCACAAATTTAAACTTTTGCAACAGATTTCACAAAATACATACATTGAGGTCATATTAGCTGTTAGTCATATAAGCTAGGCATTGCTGTGCATTTTAAGCAAACATGAGCGAGCTTTGACAAATCGAATCATTCCCATTTGAAAGAAATCAGCTGCAGAAGAGAGAGGAGTTTTTGCATACACAATGGCAGAAACTGCACGACAGTATCGCTCCCACATACTACGGAATCTGGGCTGACCTCCAAGATCCCACAACTTGATTGTTACATTCCCTTTAGTGACTTTCCGCATGTTAAATCCTACCTGAAGTTGCAAAGAGCCTCTTTCCAATTATCGTACAAGAACATGTTATCCATAGCATAATCAAGAAATGAAAATATCAATGCTATTAAAGATAACATTATAATTACTAACCGTAGGAATCATGTCTTCGCTATATCCACCAGTCTAGGATAAAACCAAACAACGATGGCAACTAGTCAGATAAAAGAAACAAGTAACTGTAATACAGGGACTTATTCACAGGGTTCCGCAATAGATTTACATGTACTTACAGCAACAACATTTACAAGTGACGTTTTCCCGGCATTCTGAAGACCGATAAGAGACAACTCCATCTCTTGCTTGAAGAAAAGGCTGTAAAAACCATTAATGTGATTCAATAAATCAATTGAAAGAATTCGAAGATCATATGTACCACTTGAGATTGATTAGCTCTGCCTAATATTCACCCCTTGAATCGAACACTATCAATCAATGTTAGTTACTCTCTTGTTATTCCCAACTCTGCTTCCATTTTCCAGACACAAATGGCAGATACATTTCACGACACCAAATTATCAGTGACATGAATTTGGCACTTCAACCCAAGAAATGATTTTCACATCCAACAGCAAAATTATTCTCATTGATTTTAGGTTTCACATGTTCATCGCATTCCGAGACCTACTTTATGCAGGATTATCGTTCATCAAAATTAAAATCTTACATCAATCAGAACCCTAATTTCATCCCCAATTCAGAAGACTATTGCTCGGAAATCGAAACACAGCATAAAAACAAAATATCCGTCGAAAATTCATAAAAGCGCTTGCATTCCATAGAAAAATTAGAAAATCAATTGACAGGACCTTCTGAGCCAGTTGAGCAAAGCTTCCCAGAGACTCATGGCTTTGAATCAGAAACCGCGATGACTCGATCTGTCTTCCCTCAATTGACCTTTCCCATACCAATCTCTGTTCTTTTTCGCCTCCTACGATCCCGTTTCCATCAGCAGTGGATTGGATTTGACGACGAATCTGTGCTCCAGATCAAAGGAAAATCCCGAAACACGATGAAGGCGACAATTTAGGAAATCACAAAACAGTTACAAACCCCATAATTAAAAAATGACTGACTGCTCGTATCATATGATATTATGAGGTACAAGACTTTCTTCTCCGTAGGGTTGTGTTGACTGCTCTCAATCGCGTGTGTAGGTACAATCTCGATTCCATTTTCGTTTTTTTATTAAAAAAATAATAATTTAAATTAATATAAAATATCATTTAATTTTTATTTAAATTATTCTACATATAATTATTTTATATTTAAAATCAAATGATAAAAATATTAAAAAAATTTACACGTTTATATTGATTAATAAAATACTACCGTCCACATATAATGTATACATTTAGTTTTAACGTGATATTTAAAAAATAATAGTATGTTATACGATATTTTATCTAAAAATGTATTATTTTATCTTATACATATTATATTAAATTATTTTTATTAAATAAAAAAAACATTAAAAAACTCTTGTAGATTTTTAATATGATTAATTATTTTTTTGGGTATAATAGTTAATGTAGTATCAAGAGTTTTGAGTTTAGGAAATTATCCTCTGTTTGTAAGTTTTTTATTTGATCTTTTATTATTCATTAAAAAAAAAACTTTTTGAAAATATTAAATCAATGGTTGATTTATTTATATTATATTATAATTTAATTTAAAATTAAAATTATTTGATAAAATATATATATATCATTGATTGATTTTATTTTTTTTACTAATAAAATTATTTTAAAATAAATAAATTGAATCGATTTAAAAATAATTTATATAAAAGATACTGAAAACTTAATATAAAAACTAATTATCTAATTAAAAATGTATTATTTTAATCATATGTGTCCAATTATTATATGTTTATATATGAATAATTACTCAATCTTCGATATAAAACTTTATTTTTAAATTTACTAATTAATTGATTTCAATCATAAATATTTATTAATAGAGATAGTAAAAAAACATTGTAATTATTTAGCATTTTTTTATAAAATGAAATTATGATTTAATACGACTGAAAAATGATTAAATCTTACCTTTATAATTTTATTTGAATATCTAACATGAATTTTCATTCAAGTTTTTTTTTTTCTTTTTTCAAAAATCTCAACTTTCTTTTTAAAAAAAAAAATAAAAATACTCCTTCCGTCCCAGATACCATGTCCACGTTGCCGTTTGTCATTTTTCTTTGTGGAAAATGATTACACACTTTAATCTCATTTTAAATTTTTAAATTTTATTTTTTAATTTTAATTAAATTAATTAGTTATCTTAATCTTAATTTATAATTATTTATATTATAGGATAATTATTTTCACTAATACATTCTTAATTATCTACTAATTACACTCCTCCTAAGATACGGTGTCTACAGGGTAGCAGACACACGGTATCTGAGACGAAGGGAGTAATATTTTATATTAAATTATTAATTTTTTTATACGAATAAAATATAAATATTATATATATCATGATGATGTATATATATTATATTTTTGTAATAATCTTTATTGGGATGGTACCACTAAAATTCCTAAGGGATTAAACCCTAAATTTCAAAATACAAACACCAAAAATAAGCATAGAAAAGTACATTCAATATTATTAGAAAAAATAAATTAAATAGTAAAATATAATAATAATAATATTATCTAGTGAACAAATAATCTATTCTACACTTACAAAAACTGGCCATTAGTATTAATGTGACTTCACAATTCACATTACAGAAAATTTCTCCATTTGCTTCCAAAATTTGGTTCATAATTCATCACTTAAACCTACTCCTTGATTTCTCGTAGTTGCAAAATGTCCGATCAAGAAAGTTCAGGTTCCAATGATCTCGATCCACCGGACATTGACTCCGGCGTCAATCAAAGCATTCCGCCGCCTATCACCGCCGCTCCCACTTCCACCATTCCTCCGTCGCCGCTGCCGCCATTGCCTCCGGTCATCGTCTACCACAATTATGGCCAAGAAGACTTTCTCCTACAAAATCTACCCGCCCGAAACATGATCTATCACTCGTCGGATCCACCGCCGCCGCTGCCGCAAAACAATGTAAACCCGAACCAGATGGAGGTCCTGTGGAATACATTGGAGGTCCCGGCCCTCACGAACCGAGACGAAATTACAGCCCTTGATCAGGGCGGTCCCAACCGCAATGAAAACCAAAATGTTGGACTTGGGGGCGACGGCGGCGCCGCCGCCGCCGGCGGTGGAAGAGCCGGCCAAGATGGCGGGGGAAATAATGGTTCGAATCTTTTTCGATGCCCATATTGTGGGAGAGGATTTTCTTGGCCTGATGAATTATTAGACCACATGTCATCGGAGGTATTATGCCACCTTAAGGGAGGCCGTCGTTGAATCGACAACGCCGCCACGATTGTTGCAGTTGTCGTTACTATTTCCGTTCTCTTAGAATATTTGTTACAATCACATTTTTCGTTACTTTTATCAATGACCTTCTCAATTTTTACTGCAATGATAGTTATTAATCTTTTGCGTTATTTTTGTCTTTTTACTTTTTCCATTTTTAGTGCAACAAGAGTTATTCTTTATATTAGAATTAAAAATAATTAATTTATTTAATTATGTTAAAAAAATAGATTAACAAATTTAAAATATGATTAAACGATATAATTTTTTTCAAAATAATAAAAATAAATAAATTATGTGAGATGAAATAATAATAAAATACATTATATACAGTATTATAGTTAGTTAATATAATAATAACCTTAATTTTTTATTTGTTCAACATCTACTTATATTATACTAAATAATAAATTTTACTCGACTTTAAAAATACTTTCAAATTTTAATAAAAGCAAAATTTTATTTTATATTCTATCTTCTTACTATATTTAAAAACCCAAAGCTCCAAAACACACACGTATAGTTTTGATTATGTATCAGTTTAGTATATTTAAATCCTATGAATACAGTATCAATGTACATAGAAGAACCCAAAAAAATTGTACATATTCAAAATCTCACATATTTTATTTTAAAAAAGTGATCAAAATGTACTTCACTAAAATATATATATATATATATATATATATATCAAAATTTAAGAAAATTTGAAAGCCACTTAAACCTACAAGAAGAGGTCAAGAGTCTATCCATTTGTTATTATTTATCTCCAAAAAAATAGAATAGATTCAGTTGGTTAGTTTGTTTGTTACGATAGATTTATCTTTTTTTTTAAAAAAAAATAATAATAATAATAATAAGTAAACAATATTTCATAATCTTCATTTGTTTTCTTCAAAACTCAGATCAATTATTACACGAGCCTTAGCAACCAAGCCTGAGAATCAACATGAAGAAAGCTCCGGAATCGACTACCGGAAGCCTCCACGGTAGCAAATCGGATGATAATTCTGGGTTCGGGCAAGCATTTCAAACCGTCGAGGTTCGGGGCGGTAATAATTACTCCCACGGCGGTCCGAGCATTAAGATCCCTGCCGGAGCAGAGAAGCTTGGATACGGTGTATGGGGGTTGTTCAAATGCAACCCTTGTAATCGACTGTATCCGACGGCTCAGGATCTGTATAATCATCAATTTGTACAAGGAGGGTGTGATTGACGGATTGGCAGCCGATAGGCCAAAATAATATGGCACATTGGCCGGAATTTCGATTGATTTTTTTTTTTTTTAAAGTTAATGTATTGAGCTAAATTAGTGTTTAAAATAATCTTTTAGATTGTATTGTTTTGTGGTTTAATATATTATAAATTTATTTTACATTCAAAACATTGCATCAACATCTATTCAAATTTAAGTTTTAATTATTCATAAATTCAAACTCCAAACCCACAAACAAACACACCTTTTAAGGGTTTGTTTCTATAATATTTTTTTCTTGATACTATTTTTAATAGTATATATTTTATATTTTTACAAAAATTAATATTTAATATAAAAAAATATTTTTTATATATAATTTTTTATATTTCATATAAAAAAATCTTCAAATCAAAATATTAAGATAAAGCCCTGCCGAACTAAAGGTAAAAAATATAATTAGTAAAATAAGTATATTAGTAAAAGTAATTGTTGATAATAAAAATAATTATAAATTAAAATTAAAATTACTAAATAAATTAATTAGAATTTTTTAAAAAAAAATTATAAAATATAATGTTTAAAATATAATTAAAATGTATAATTATATTTATTTTTAAAAAATAATAACAAATTATATAGAACGACTGTGCTTTGACGGAGAGAATATATATTATATCGCAAAAGTGTGTTTTGTCAATAAAAATAAATAAATAAATTTTACTAGTGGAATTTTATATTTTAAAAAAATATATATTTTATCAAATATTATTTTAATACTCCCTTCGTTTCAAATATCATGTTCACGTTGTCGTTTCTGTCTGTCCCCCACAAATTATGTTACTTTGATTTTTTGGAAAATGATCACACACTTTAATCTTATTATAAATTTTTTAATTTTTTTTTTAATTTTAATTAAACTAATTAGTTATCTTAATCTTAATTTATAATTATTTATATTATAAGATAATTATTTTCATTAATATATTATTAATTATCTACTAATTATAGTTATCCTGAAATAGTGTGTTTATTGTGTAGCAGCCAAGCCACAGTAGACGGAAATAATATAATTCAAATCAAATCATTCTCTCTCTCTCTAAATCTCTCACTCTACAGGTAGAGCAGCTAGCTATGTAGCATCATCTCAATCAATCAATTCCAATTCCCAATTACTTCTCCAATTCTGATCATATCCTCTCTCTCTCTCTCTCTCTCTCTCTCCATCAATTCATTTCCTTTTCCATTTCTTGATAAATCGATAATCCTCCGATCCGATCCATTAAACATGAGCAATGATCAACAAGAACCCTCCTCCTCTGGTTCTAATACTAATACAAACACTAATACTAATACTAGTAATTTGGTATTCAGATCTACGAGATCAACGGCGGCGCCGCCGCCTCAACGCCGCCGTAGGTTGCTCCACTACGGCGTCGAAGAATTATACGACTCGTTTATAGAGTCCCTGGGGATCCCACAGTTCACTTCTTTGCCCGAATTCCGCGATCCCAATCCATCACCAC